ACGAAAAAATCGTAGAAGTAGCTCATAGTAACTCTTATTTATGCTAGAAGTATATTATGACGTGTGGAGTTTAAGTTTATGGAGATTGCGCTTCTCTTCATTGTGTACTTCTCACCACAGTACTTGTCAGACAAGGCTGGAAAAACCCTTGTGATAGATGCATATTAACTACCTATGGTTACTTTGACTTCCTTAAATATAAATTAAAATACTGTGTATTAACATATGTACCTTTTACAAAGCCTCCAGTCAAAGCAGAAAGGCGGTCTAAAAATTAATTTGCAAAGTTAACGTCTCTTCAGTTTTGTTGTACAGTAATGCTGTTTGTTATGTAACTCCATCTTTTGTGTAATTGTAATAGTTTGTAATCTGAAGTTTTTGATCAGACATGTTGATCATAATGTAATCATGTATGGCTGCACTAATGAATTCTCAAACGTCTGAAAAATGTAATGAGGTTTTCCGTACAGCACATTTTCTTCTATGCCCTTATGCCCAATTTTTGAATATGCCTCTCTGAGTACCCTAGAGTAAGTTGGCATGCTCTATAGACATTCTTGTCAGTGAAAATTATAACTTTTAAAATAGTTGAAAGCACTAAAAATGCATGAAATATTTCAAGAATTTTGTAGATAAGATTGTTCGTACTGTAAAGAGGAATTCATGCGTGTTAATAAAAACATTTGTCAGTATAACTCATCAACTCTTTTCAATGATGGGAATATTGAAGAAAGAGGCATTAAATTAGTTCCCAGGCTGATTAGTGTATCAATAAAATTAAATGAAGGGCTAGCAGCAAATTCAAGTACACTTTAACTTATGAATTGTCTTTATTTATCCTGTTCAACAGAAGACAGTATAGGGTCAATAAGTGTACAACTACTGCAGCTTAATGTTGAATAAGAAGAGAAAGACTCCCAGACGTTACCTGGCTTCTGCTGCTATCCTTTGCCGCTCTGCATTTCCACGCAGACGATATTGATGAGCTGTTTGAACAAAATAGAACACATCAGTAAGTGCATTCAAGTAATATCTTACTTTCTTCAAGAATGTAGTTGTTTTTACTTACTTGGTTCGGAAGGTGTGCACTTTTTCTTCAACTCCTTCACCTTGACCTTGCCCTCTTCCTTCACCTTCACCTTCCCCTTCTTCATCCCCTTCTTTGTCACCTTCTCTGCAACCTTCTCCGCTGTAACATTCTCCGCTGTAACCTTCTCCGCTGTAACCTTCTCTGCTGCAACCTTCTCCGCTGCTTTCCTCTTCTTTTCCTTTTTCCATTTCTTTCCCCTCTCTCTCCGGGATTTAAACCACCCGGCCCCATGCACTTTCTTCCCATCTGAATTAGACATTTATGTTAGTTCGTCCCTTGAAACAAATCTATGAGCAGAAATCACTTTAAATCATATAAATCATACAAACCTAACTTCTTCTTTTCCCTCCTCCTCCTCGTCTGCTCTTTACGTTTCTCACTGAAAGCAATTTTGAGAAGATACTGTTATGAAATCAATAATCAATTGCCTCAAATTTGTTTACATTACCTATTTGTGGCAAATGATTATAATTATTTTTGTTGATATAATTTTAGTTAGTCTAAATTTCTACAATTAAAACTCTTACTTACACTTGGCTGTCAACGACCGCATCTTCCATCTTTTCTAGCAGATCGTCTGCTCAGCTGTTCTTCTGCAACAAATGACTTCTGACCTCCCACCTGCCGCCTCGACTCCTTGCCTCCTCATCCCCCCCCCCCCCCCTCCTACCCACCCACTTCCCCCTAGCCCGCAAGTGAAACGTCAGGCGAAATTTGTCTGTTGACCGGACCAAATATTAATGTCTCTCTGGGGTTTTTCAAAATGAGATTTTCTAGGAAAACATTTGGTAACAATATTATAGGTTTTACTTTGCATATAATTTCATTTTAGCCATCTTTTGTTTCACCTGTATTGTGTATGTATCATCCATGCTTGTGCCGACCGACCAGGTTAGGTTACCGCGTCTTCTCCCTTGATTCTAAGCTCCTGGTGAAAAGTACAGAAACTGTCAGGATATTTATTCGTCATCATAATTTTGTTACAGAGTGGCAACACCTTAAAATATCATCTTTGATAAAGCCGCTCCTTCCGGATTGACAACAAGTACCTAGGTATTCTTGGACACAGGACACACATGATTTGTGTGAGAATATAATGTCACCTATAAGCGGCTTCTTGGAATTATTCTTGCCACATGTGAAAGCCTCCTGGAATGCCGTGACATTTTGTAACTGCAGGTTAGAAGTTGTTTCTATGAACAACTTGTGTAGCAATAAATCCCGAACATCTTCAGTCTTGATGATTTCAAGTCGAGGTGCTCCAAGATGTTTGGTTAGGTTATTGCAAGCAATAGTTATTTTCTAAGGAAAGTAACTGGTTTTGTTTTGCACAATGTCCAGGATTTGACTAATTGTAGTTGTTTTTTTGTATGTTTTGTACTTTCCGTTTTTAGAAGTGGACATTTGCCATAGCAATCATTCTTCTTTACCTTTTACCAAATGTATAATTTCCCTTTTCAACATTTTGCTCTGTTGCGTCAAGCTGAGTAAGTAAGCAGTAAGTTCATTCATTGATCAAGTAATCGACTTGGATTGTTGTTTAACTTCTGTGTTTTCCTATCTGTTTGCTAGTGAACCGATCTTCTACTGATTCTTATTTTGACTAGAACCAGAATCGTACTTTGGTGTTACTACAAGGATACAATTGTCAACAATGCAATGCAATGCTTCAACATGAAACATTCAAAGAAATTTTCATACTGTAGGGTCTGCTGAGGTGTGGTGAATGAAAAGAATATTCTGACACTAGACGATTTGAGGCAGGTTTGTGGTAATATCAAAGTTCGTTTGTTTATCATTATTTATTTTTACAATCTTTGTTTATTTTTAATAATTTTCTTTCAGTTTGGGATCAACAAATATGTGTCCTTGGTGTATACGTATTATATCTTATCATGACAGTTGTACAATGTTGATCCACAACTATTCTCACGAATGAGCTGCTTTAAGTAGTATCAAAGTTAAGTATAATCGTCGAGCAGAGGTAACATTTTGTATTATGTTGTGAATGACAATGACACTGAGCTCACCATCCTAACTAGTTATCATAAAGAGTTCGATGACAGGGCTCTTCTGTTTGTGAGGTACTGTGTTAATCCCTTGGCTGTGTGTTGTTTTTGTTGATTGTGTAATGGTTTCTGAAGGTTTAATTACTTTCGACTGAAAATACACAATCGGTAAACAACACAACTCTCATTGAGAATTAAGGCTGTGTTCTTTCTTAGTTGCTGTAATGGTTTGAAGGCGACATTGCTTTCGACTGATAATACAACGGTTAATTGAGAATACTTCAATTTTTCATCTCATTGAGAGCTCTACCATAGTCTTTCTTGATTGTGTAATGGTTTGAAGGCTTAGTCGCTATCGACTGGAAATACACAATCTAAGTGAGGGTATGGTTAGTGAACTAGCTTTACTGGTTTACACATTGCTAAGCATTGCTCCTTCAGCTTTTCTTTCTATTTACTTAAAGAAAACAAAGTAGTTCGATGATGAGCTCTGTATCAATTGAATGCTTGTTCGGTTTTATTTTATTTAAAAATAAAAAATAATTGTCCATGATAGTGCCACTTTTGATGATAGCAAGTGTGAGAGAATGTGGCTAGCTAGTATCTGACATGCGCATGGCATCAATGTGCTAGATGTCTTCAAATAGTTTCAATTCAAATGTTAGTCAATTGGATACCACATTACTTTATTAAATTTTCTTTTCCAGAAGTGAAGCTGTAGCCATAAGGAGCCGAAAGCTAGAAACCAAGGGTCCTGATCTGGATTTGTGGAAGCGAACTGTGATGAAATTATATCTGGTCTGATCCCCGGGATAAAATGTTAACTGAGGCAGGGCTGAGGTCACATTGCTGTCACCTGGGTACATCTGAGTAAAAACGCGATTAGCTCGCAATTGCTGATTCAGCCATATTCAGCTCTAAAAATGCTGAGCTGGGGACCATTCCGAGCTAACAATTAAGTGATGACTTTGTGCACATGTTTTCAGTATTTGCCAGCATCGAATACAGGAGCTGAGATTTGGTGACAATAACTGGCGTAG